CTCCAGGGGAGGAGGAGAAGGCACTGAGAGGCAACGCCTTGGGACTGCTTTATAAAAAGGGAACGTGTGGGCGGTGCTGGTTGCTGAAGGCAACCATTGCAAAGTACTTCATGGGACCATGTTCTGTTAGTATTGCCGGTGACTATTTTTCTGTTTTGCATTGTGTTTTGTGTGGACAATTTCCTCCATTTGGATTGAGTTTTGCTGCTTTTGTTTGGCATGTTTGTTTGGCATGTTTGTTACCCATGTTAAAAGGGGTTTGTTTTCTTTTGAGTCTCCAGCCTATTTTCTCAACAGGGGTTTTATCCTTGTGCCTTTAAAAAGGACAGCCATAGGCTGGGATAGAACAGGTGTTAGGTCCGCCGTGGGAACAGGGAGATAACATCAGTCTGTCTCTGGTTTTAGCTGCGATGTTTAGGCGGTTTTTCGCACCTTCTCTGGAAGCATGGAGATAACGCAGTCGACGGAGGTTGCATTCCATTTTTCCCCTCCCTTTGCTAGCTGACAGTAAGGGATGGGAAAGTTCAGAAGAAATATTGCAGGAAAGCAAAGTGTTACTTTGTAGCGATAGAGGAAGTCAAGGCAATAACCCTCAAGCACACACCCCTCCCCCCTAGGAGTATGGCAGAACCCAGGATGAGAGGAGAGTGAGATTCGGGTCAAGATGAAAGAGGAAGAAATAGTAAATGTGGGAGGGGGGAATAAAAGGATTTGGGGATCTATCGATATGGGTTCTGACACCGACCCAGATTGGATCATGCAACATTATCCTGGGACACACTTTATTGGTAATAAGACAGAGTTCTCTGGTGTATGTAAACCATCCAGAGACATTCAAGGTTAAGAGATTGATTCTATGCTGGTTGCTTGGATGTGAAGCAGAGGCACTGTACACCTGGAACTGGATGGGTGATTTTTGTAGGGGTAATAGGTTCATATTAGTTGATGGTTGAGGCAGTGGCAATTATGTATCTATCTGTGGGGAGGGGAGATGTGGTACTATCAATTTCCTGCTTATCCTTCTCTTCTGTTTGTCCATCAAAAGGTTCAGTGCAGCAACATTCAGATCGTTGGCAAGCAGAAATGCCAAATCTTTAGCAGAGGAAACATCCTTTGGTTTGTCCTTTACAAGTAAGAATGAGGGAACCTGTGTCTGTTAGAAGTCAGGTTCCATGGGACCAGAGGAAGCTCCTCAGTTTTCCAAAGTAGTACATTTCCAAAGGAGGATGTTTTTTATTGTTTGACTGTGCTTTGTTATGTTTGGAGGACAGGTTTTTTTTTAGTATCAGCAGTTTGGTAATACTTGGGTTCCTTGAAGATTGTTGGTATTGAACTCTCAGAGAGTCAGTCTTAGTAGGAGAAATAATAATGAGAGTTGGCTTGCAGCTCAGGGGACAGGTATAAATAAATTGATGCTGAACGTCCATTTCACTATCAACACTAGGAGGGCATGTCATAGTTGTTATTTTAATTTCTTCTATTTTTTTTCTTCAAAAATAATGAATTCTAAGTTTGTAATTCTCTCTCTTGGTGTTTGCTTAACCCAGTGGTTCTCAACCTGTGGGTCGGGACCCCATTTGGGGTCAATCGACCATTTCACGGGGGTCGCCAAGTAAGGCTGTCCGCCATTTTTTTGTCCGCCATTTTTTTTGTACGCCATTTTTTTCCCCTTTTCCAGCGGGTGCCTTACTTCCCTTGGGCTAGGCCAGCTGGTGGTCGGCCTGCTCCGTCTCTGCCGCTTGCCAGCTACGCCTCGGCCGGCGCAGGGGGCAGAACCATGCATGCGCGGCGCTCCCGGGCAGGGAAAGTCCTTGACTTACAATCGGTTGGGTAGTCCTCGACTTATGACAGGTTTAGTCCTTGACTTACGACCGGTTTAGTCCTCGACTTACAACCGGTTGGGGTCGCGGCATTAAAAAGGTTGAGAACCACTGGCTTAACCTCTTCACTGCTTGCAAATCTGGCAGATTTATTACTTTTGGAATGAATGTTTTTATTATTATCTGCAAGGTCAGGACCGTTTATCACTTTGTGCTAGTAATAAGATTACATACTAATCATCCTTAAAGACTCTAACAAACTGAATGTGATAATTCTGCCACAAAAATTATTTTAATAAGTCTAGGAAGGAGAACTATTTGATGAAAACTTTATAATATCTGTTTGGCATTTCTTGAGCTTGCTAGATAGTGAAAATCTTTCAAGTCAATTGCTCTACTTTGTTAGTTTAAGACGGGTCTTCAAACTTGGTCCTTTTATGACTTGTGGACTTCAACTCCCAGAATTCCTCAGCCAGCATTCCTGGCTGAGGAATTCTGGGAGTTGAAGTCCACAAGTCACAAAAGGGCCAAGTTTGAAGACCCCTGGTTTAGGAACTGACACAGAGAAGTCATGATAAGCCTCTGATTTTTTTCATCTGTTGCTATTCCAATGGATATCCAGGAGGAAATGAAGTTACTAGAGCACATGGCAGGGCTTAACTAAATTAACTGCTTCCAAATGTCTGGATACACCAACTGCCAAAATGCTGATGTGACTGTTGATATATTAATCCCTAATTGTTCTGGGGTATTTGTAGGTCCAGGGTTTGTTGAAGGCTGCCAGTCTTAAGTGCAATTTAATTTAATCATTGCAATATAAAAGCAGTGTTTCTATAGACAACGGGCAAGGTTGGAAAGGTGTAGTTGATATTATTGTTGGGGACATTACTGGGACCATGCTCCAGGAGGTTTGCTTTGTGCCCTGGGAAATAATTTAAATTGAAGAAGTGGCCAGTGTTCTGGTTCAGTTCTGCCTTATTACAGTCTTTGGAGATGAAGGAAGCCTGAGGCCATGGATCCATTATTCACATTTAGTTGCCTCTGTGGTGGGGAGGTAAGAGTTTATCTTACTTGACAAACTAGAAAATTGTGGGTTAGACAACATCGCCACAAGATGGATTCATAAGTGGCTGACCAGTTGCACTCACCATGTATGTAGTCCATGGTGGAACTACATCTACATGGAGGATGCAGTGGGGCACTCCAATGTTTTGTCTTAGGCCCGGTATTCATAAATGATTTAGATGAGATAGAAGGGGAACTTATCAAATTTATAGATGACACCAAGCTGGGGGGAGTAGCTAACATTTTAGAAGACAGACTGAAGATCCAGAAGGAATTTGACAGACTTGAATGCTGGGCCCTATGCAACAAAATGCAATTTAGTATAGTTTTACACCTAAGCAAGAAAAACCAAACCTGCAGGTATAGGTGGCACATGGCTCAGTAGCATTAACTGTGAGAGGGATGTAGGAGTCCTAGTGGACAACTACTAAAAATGAGGCAGCAATGTGCTATGGCTCTCAAAAAATCCAACACAGTTCTACGCTGCATTAACAGAGAAGTAAAATTGAGATTATGTGAAGTGTCAGTACAGCTTTTATAATGCTTTTTGATATTCCGTTGGGATATTTTTGATCACCTCCTCATAGCCCAGATTTGATGCCAAGCGACTACTAATAAGGAATTTCAAACCTTGTAAAACATTATGACAAGTGCCTCAAATTGAATGGCGATTATGTCGAAAATGTAATGTAATGTTATAGTTTTCTAATATGTATAATAAAAGTTCTGTATCTGCAAATGTCTCTGATTGATAACCAAATGGAGGTTATTTTCTAATTGCCCTCATATAAAGCTAAATATCATCAGCATATGGATGATACCTTATCACAAACCATCAGATGCCCAGTAGCTTCATATATATGTTACATAGGAGGGGACAGGGAGGCCATAAAAGATGTCATAAATCTTGTCCAGAGGAAAATAAACTATAATTCATATTTTAAATTACTTATTGGTGATATAGGATGGAACAAATTAATTTAATTGATCAATTAAGAGAAAACTGGACAAAGTTTTGAAAGATGAGCTGGTGAGGCAAGACATCTCAAACACCTTAAGAGCTATATCAACATTGTATAATAATAGACATCTTATTGGAAGAACTGAGGCAGGGGTAAGGGGGAAAGAATTTACAGCCTTTCTTTCCCCATGCCCCTTCTAATTACTTCCATGGAATCCAACAGAGGAGAACCCCTAAAAATTGGAGCAACCAAAAGCTCTGTTAAGAGAAGCAAAGAAGATCACAACTGTGAGTCCCTTGGGTACATAGCTAGATTGTGCCTGATGAAAACTAAAGCATTTGACATAGCAACAAAATGTAGAACTTGTAAATCAACTAAGCACATACCCAGCAAATGTCCAGCACAATTCAAAGCAGAAACCAGGAAAACTTTGCTAGCTCCCTTCCCAAGAGCTCCAAAGGAGGACCCTCAAGCAACTAGGAAGAGCTCAGTAGGCAATAGCAGTCAATCCTTTTATCAGATCCAGATGCAGATCAGAGCAAGCACATACACTATTCAGTTCAGCTACCAAAAATATAAGTCATTGTTTATTTCTTAAACATCAGCAAACATAGAACATTGACTAAAAAGGTTGCTGATATAAACCTAAATATTACTTTATTTGGAAAAGTAAAATTTAATGTAGTCACTATGGCTTTCAAAGCAAAAAACTAACATAACATAACATATGATATCTAATTTCACCAACGTCTTATTTATATTTCCTTGGATGAAAGCTAATTAAACATTAGGAAATTTAATTGTATATATTTCTCATATCACATTATCATACTGTAGTTTTTTTCAAACAGTAAAATGTTATGTATGTTTACATTACATTACAGGCAACCCTTACCTTGTTTTATATTGTTTACTTAGTATTACTTACACATTTGTAAATGTCTAAGTAACATCAAGTAAGCAGCATAAAATAATTCCAAGATTTGAAAATCAATACAGCAAGTGTTTGCACCTTACTGAACACTTCTAATATATATTTAGTCTATATTTCCAAAAATATGTTTGGAAACATAGGCTAATTATATATCAGAAATAAGTACAAACACTTGCTGTATTGATTTCAAAATCTTGGAATTATTTGGCACATATTTCAGATCTTGAAATTATTTGGCACATATTTATGCCTCAGGGTTATTGTTCACAATCTGAATGATTAAATTGTCCTCTAATATAAATTCCAATAGAAAAGGGTAAAATTTTAACCAACACTGTCTGACAAATAATTTCAATCTGTCATAATATTATACGGGATGTCATGGGGTTCCCATCAATATATAGAATGTCAGAGCAACAATAAGTAACAAACAAAAAGGAGATGAAAAAGTCTGATAGGCAGCTGAAGGCATAAAAATATCTTCATACTTGTAAATACTGACCACATGCTCCGAAACCGGTGGAGAATCTATATCATGCCGTGTTATAGAACCTAAAATAGATTAAACAAAAGAAAATATAAAAGAAATCATATTAACAATAAATATTAGAAATGCCATAAAAAAGAAGGAACATTTTACCCTATGTGGTGGTTTACATGTGTGTGTGTGTCTGTCTGTCTGTCTATCCCTTAAAAGTATTAGAAAGAAATTCTTCAAAATATTAAGAAAATCCTAAAAAACAAATTTTGAACTGAAACTACAAATAGGTATAATTAGGCATAATTCCAGGAAGCATAAATGAAAAATATCACAATTTATTAAAATATATGCTAACAGCTACAAAAATAAATTTGGCACAACATTGGAAAGGAGGAACTTTGCTGACAATACCAGACTGGGATGCCAAAATTGGAGAATATGCAGCAAAGGAAAGATTGCCAGTTTACATCCATCATAGAAATCTAGCCAAATTTAAGCAAGAATGGTTCCTGTATATATTATATATTATCATCAGCAGCCATTCAGTCATGCCCAACCCTCAGCCACTCTATGGATTAGGACTCTCCATGCCCCTCAACCTCACACTGCCTCCTTTAGATCTGCCATAGTCATCCCAGTGTCATCCTTTATAGTGTTCAGCCAGTGAGTACTAGGGCAGCCTCTTCTCCTTTTTCCAGCATGATTGACTTTTTGAGTGAGTTGGCTCTCATGACATGACGAAAGTATGACAGCAATCTTGGCTTCAAGTGGTATTTTTGGTAAAGTTTGGTCTAGGACAGGGGTTCCCAACCCCCACTCTGCAGCTTGGTAGCAGGCCATGCCTCATTGGGAACTAAACTGCACAAATGGTGAACGAGCATGCAAGCACAAAGCTCCATTTATGCAAGTAGCAGGTGCATTTGTGAAACCATCCCCTCTGTCCCCTGCCACAGCTGGTCTCAGAGCCAGAAAGGTTGGGGACCGCTGGTCTAGAACTTCTTTGTTATTTTTGCAGTCCATGGAATGCATAAAACTCTCCAACACCACAGTTCAAAGATACCCACTCTTCTCCTATCTGCCTTTTTCAGAGTCTTCAAGTTTCTCAGCCATAAATAACAAACTATTCATTGTATTGCATGGCAAATTTAGAATATTTAGAACCTGCTTTTTAGGAACAAAGTTATGGAATCAATAAGGATAATGAATGAAAGGATTTAAATTGATACTAACAATAATGTATAATGTAAAGATTAAGTATCTAAGTTGTGGTTAGTGGTTAGGGAAATAAATGGAAGGGAAGGGGAGAGAGTTTTCTGAGAATGTTTGTATTTAAGCTTGTTTATATTTAGTTGTTTCTCTTTTTGTTATTCACCTATTGTTATCCAATGTAGACCATTTTTCTTTTGTATTTCACAATTCTAGAAATATATTTTTAAAAAAGAAAAAAATAATGGAAACTATTAACTACAGACTGCTTACTTATAATTGTGATTTTTTTCCATTGATCTTGTATGCATTTACATTGAGCAGGAAATTGCACCTCCGCATATTCTCTTGTTGAACTTAAGTGGTTGGAACTCAACCCCTAACTGCCTAAATACTTGTGTCCACTTAAACTGCCTTGGTTTTTCATTGCTACTTAACCTTAAGATCAATATGGCAATACAAGTAGTCCTCAACATACAACCATAATTGAGCCCAAAATTCTGTTGCTAAGCAAGATAGTTGTTGTGAGGATTGCCTATTTTACAGCCTTTCTTATCACGATTGTTAAGTGTATCACTGTAGTCATTATGTTAGTAACACAGTTGTTAAGTGAATCTGGCTTCCCCATTGATTTTACTTATCATAAGGTTGCAACCGTCATAAATACGTGCCAGTTGCCAACCATCTGAAGTTTGATCATGTGATCATGGGGATGCTGCAATAGTTGTGGTTGTGGGAAATGGTCATAAATCACTTTTTTCAGTGCTGTTGTAACTTTGAATGGCTGTAAGTTGGACTACCTATATAGTTATCATGTGGGGAACAGCAGGGTAGTCTGAATATACACAATAAAAATTAAGCAACTAACAGTTATTCTGTGCATCATATCATATTAAACCACCTAAAGTCACTTGATAGTGAAATGGGCATATAAATTTAATACATAAATGATGGGAAAATATAATTGCCTAAAAAAAGTAGACTTCAAAACATGGACTCATTGACTGACAAAACAAAGTACTTAGTTCATGATTTGAATTATTCCTCAGTAAAAGAATATCATCTTTTCACTGCTTTGAATCTAACTAAAAATACACACCTTTTTGAGTAAATGACTGACGAATGGTACCATGCATTTGGCTTATCATGGGTCTGATATTGACAAGACAAAGAAAGCCAAAATTTTCTTTCTCACTTTTTAATTGTAAGCCTCCCAAAGTCTGTTAGGTGAGATGGGCAGTGTTGAAATGTGGAAGATTAGATATAGATAGATAGATAGATAGATAGATAGATGGATGGATGGATGGATGGATGGATGGATGGATGGATGGACAGATGAGAGAGAAAGAGAAAGAGAGGCAGATGGACAGATAGACAATAAATCACAACTGATGAAGTTTCTTGGATGAGACATTTTCTTCTTCTTCTTTAAGGAATAAACAGTCCAGTTACCTTTTAAAAAACCATATTTGAGACAGTTAAAGGTATAATTTTGAAATATTAATATTGGCAAAAGTTCTTTTAATTTATATGAAATTAATTAGACCAAAACTTTAGGCCAATGTTGATTATTTGACATCAAAGGAAAAAGAAAACGGATGGACTTTACAAAAGGAGATAATTATAATAGATGGGCTGTGTGTGTCAGAGCTGCCATCTTTTATTCACTTCTATTCACTTAGATGCCAGTCTGTCATACTTTATCGGGAGAGGGAATCTCATGGGGGAATCAGAAGGGGAACCTGCAAGCAAGATATGGGAAACTAAACATGATAGTCATGCTGTCCTGAGATGTGTGAAGGCCATGGTCCTGGGTATGGAATGCAGCACTTATCCACCTACCAACAACAACAGGGAACATTATTAAAACATCTTTTCTAAATGTGACTGGACAATGGGGAGGGGTAGCTTGGGAAGAGCAATGCAGCATGGGTGCTTTCAATGCAGCAAGAAGGGCCACCAAACAGTCTATTGCTCCTCACAATGCCAGACCCCCACCGTAGCCTGAGAAGCGCCTAAGAAGGCCAAAGCAATGTTTAAAGGCAGAGAGGGAGCCTTGAGAGGAGTGGAGATCATAGAGTTCACTCCATCATCCAGCGATGGCAAAGGTCCTACGATCAGAGGCCCACCAGTGGATCAGGACAAGAATAGCGGAGACACAATCTAAGTGGCCCCAACATCCTAGTAATGATCCAAGTAGAGCTAACAGTGGCTTCCTCAGGGTGCAAAGATATACTAATAGCCCTGCTGGACTAGTTAACCCAAGTGTAGTGGAGGAGCTTAGACTGCAGCTTCAAGGAGCAAAAAAATCCCAGCAGCTTTCACGCAGCTAGACGGCTCACTAGCGGGGAGGCCAGCAACGTTTATGATTGAGCTGATAGAAGTAAAGATGGGGTGCCATGAAGTGGTTATTTGATTTATCATGACCTCGGGCATGGACCACCCCATGGTACTGGGACTGGCATGGCTGCTAAAACGGAATCCATCCATAGACTGGAAAAGGAAAGCATTGAAAATCCACCCAAAATACTCAGGACGGGAAACCACAGAAAAAGTGAAACAATGTAGCCATGTGCGGCTTATTAAGAAAGGAAAAGGAAAAAGCACAGCTTCAGACTAAGAGCAGGGGGAGGCAATTAGCTATTCCTAGCGAATACCAGGGATTGGAGGATGTGTTTAGTAGATGAGAGTTGGATGTGCTCCCTTCCCCCCACCATCCCATGGACTGTACAATAGAGATTTTACCCAGAGCCAAACTACTAAAGGCCAGACTTTACTCGATGACACCCAGAGAGTTAGAGAAACTCCAGTCTTTCATTGACAAGAATTTAGCCTGAGGTTCATCCAACTCAGAAAATTATGCATGGCTGCCTGACCCCAGTACTGTTTCAAGAGAAGAAAGACTGGTCTCCTAGAATGTGCAAGGATTACTGCAGGCTTAATGCAATTTGCATGGAAAATGTGTATCCCTTGCTGTTGATGAAAGACATGATGAACCAGTTGGCAAAAGGAAAAATCTTCCCCAAACTACTATAGAGTTCATATCAGGGAGGGGGATGAATGGAGAACTGCCTGCTGGGGTGTTTCCAATTTCAAGTCTTCCCACTCAGCCTACAGGGAGCCCCGCCATCTTCATGGAACTAATTAATGAAGTACTGGATGAACACCTATATAAGGCAGTCCTAGTTTATCTGGACAACATTCTGATTTACACCAAGACCATGGACGAGCAGGTTAAGTACATTAGGACAGTCTTTCAGAAATTGTGCAGCACAGCACACCTCTATACCAACTGGACTACTTGGGATACCGTATCTCGCGTGAAGATGGACCCAGAGAAAGGGTGAGCAATATTCGAATGGGAAGCTCCTTGCACTAGGAAACAATTACAAAACTTTCTGGGGTTTCCAAAAAGCAATTCATCATTGCTTTTGCCCAGATTACACTAACAATCACCAATTTGCTAAAAAGCAAAGGGGCGAGTAAACCATGACTGAGTCAATCATTCAAAAGAACTATGAAGTGCCAAGCATCTTTTGTAAAGCTCCAAAGGCTTTTCACTGCAGAGTCCATCCTTAAACACCCCAACCTGGATAAGCCGTTTTGTCACTCAGGTGGATGTCAGTGATGTCACTGTAGGGGCTGTCCTCCTCCAAAAAACCCCAAGGGGTCCTGTAACCATGCACCTACACTTCTAGGAAACTCTCGGAAGCTGAGTGCAGATGGGCAGTATGGGAGAAGGAAGCCTATACTGTATGCTGGGCCCTAATGATTTGACGACATTTACTTAAGGATAGTAAGATTTCTTTTGAGGTGTGGATGAACCACAAAACTTAGAGGTACTCAGAATACCATGAAAGCTCTC